TAAGAATGCTATGATTTTATTGCCCTTTCCCTAGCTGAGGGCTCTTTAGGCTGAAGCTGGTCACTCACTCACTAAGCTTCTTGACCTCCATATGGAAATCATAAATCAACCTAAGGTCACCCAGCTGACAGCAGTGACATCTTAAACCCTAGCATTTCTTTATGGTTCAATTTATAATATCCAGCAGAATAAGATGTGTACAGGTCCTAGCTCCTTTTTATTTATTTTGTAGTGTTTCCTTAATAATCTGGTATACTTCTGCATGTGCTATCTGTAAGTGCCTTGTTCTAAGAACTAGAAAGGCACACATCCCTTCCAACAGAAACTCATAACAGTGGTAGCTGCCAGTTTTGAGGATACTGTGCTTTCGAGTATGAATGTGTATAAATTTTCCTTTAGTTTACTCAACAACAGGCAGGAGTTATGATTAAATGAGGCTCAGATAAGAAAATTAATTTTCCCAAGGTCATCGAACTAGGAAGTAGTGGAGCCAGATGCAAATCAGATCCGTCACTCTCCAGATTCTCACTCCTGTTCATTATGTTATACTGGCACCAGTCTTATTTTCCAACTTTATGACCTGAGTACACAGCCAGAAATAAGGGCCAAATGCTGTATCTCCACTCTCATAAAACCAAAATTACAGTTTTTGGTGGAGGGCCCTACCTTTGAGTTGATTGAGTGCCAGGATCTACTCTTTAGCTCAAAGCAGTTCTCTGCTAATGACATCCTGATCATTAAAACCATACAAGATGGAGCAGAATGTTATGCTCTCAAAAGCTCATTTATCTGTGATCAGAGAGGAATCACAGTATTTTCTAGCCAGGCATGATGGCACATACCTCTAATCCCAGCACTTGGGAGGCTGAGACAGGAGGCTTGTTGTGAGTTCGAGACCAATCTGGGCCACAAAGTGAGCTCAATGCTAGTCTGAATTGCATAGGGAGACCCTGTCTCAAAAAGACAAAAAAAAAAATCATTTTCTAAGTATTTGGACCTACCCTTACAGTAATGTGCTATGTAATAGCACTGTCTTTGAAGTTTCATCTTTGTTCTAGCAATTAACTATTTTGTCATGCTACTAAACCTCTCTGTGGCTTAGTTTTGCATCCATAAGATGATGATAATAGTCCTTGTTTTGGAAGCCATGTGTAGTTTCCTAAGTTACATTGGCTCATCAAGTACCCCCCTAAACACACAAAAGGCCTTCAGCAGCTTTGTTTATAGTATCAGTTGGAGAGATGCCTGACTCAAACTAGGCCAATGAAAATCTCTCTCAACATTCTGCTCATCAGGGGCTGGAGATTTAGCTCAGCGGCAAAAACCGCCTGCCTGGCAAGCGCAAGGTCATGAGTTCGGTTCCCGGTACCAGAGAAAAACCAAAAAAAAAAAAAAAAAACATTCTGCTCATCCTACTATACTACTTGAGAACAGAGGAAGACAATTAGTAAAGAGTGAAAAATGAAGTAGATGTGAAAGTGAAGCAGAACCCCTATATCATCATACTGAATTCTTCCTTTTGGCCATTGGAGTTCTGACAAACCACCTACCGCCTGGTTAGGAATATTAAACATACAAGTGTCTGTGAAGAGCTAGAATGATGTGAGTGCTCAGTAAATCACATTTGTGGATTTTATTCCCTCAGCTCACATCTGGGGTGGATTGCTCTTCAGGCATGTGTCTTGTTCAGCTGCTTAGTTTACACAAGGGAAAATCAAGTTTCCTGAGGCTAGAGACCAGCAAAGTTTAAACGTCTATTTAAATTGTCAGCACAAAGTGCGCCACAAGTTAAAACCACGAGGATAATCATGTACCAACAACTGGGAAAATCTCTGAGGGTTACTGACCCTTTCTTGGGCAGGTGGGAAGCCCAGTCATTTGGGTAAATGCAAATGGGAATACCCTTGGCAGTTCTGGGGGAGCCAGATGACCCTTGGTTTCCACTTGAAACTCCTGTGTATGAACAAAACATTGTCTTTGTCTCTTGTACCAACACAGCTTCTGGGGAATACTTTTTTGTTTACCTCCATCTCCCTCCTCTAGAGTAGAAACTCCTTAAGAGAAAGTAACACCTGCCTTGTTCTCACCACATCCAGGGTTTAGCACAGGTTATGGGACACCATGGAAGATGAATAAGTATTTTTTGAAAAACAAATGCGGCTCTTTACTCACTAATGGTGGGATTTAAAAGGAAGTCTACCCAGCTCCGACATCATACCCTTTCTGCCATTCGAGCCTATTTGGATCTCCCATTCTGGCAACTTAACTGTTCCTGCCAGTTTAAACCACCATCAGAAGGCATGGCATAATCATGCGTGTATGGCCCCATTGTCAATGTATGAAAGACCCCAGTATGCATCCTATGCAGTCCCATCCTCAACCTCTTGCTCTAAAATTCCCTCCAGCTCTCCTATTCTCCTTTCTGCCACCATTTAGTCAAAATCCACACTTATATCTCTCACTTCCCCTCCCTTATGTATTCATTTAATAACTACTGAGGATAATGAATGCCTATCACTGAGCACTAAACTCAAAAGATAAATACAACTTTATCCTAGGCACCAAGATACCCAAGGAACACACAGGAGAAAAATGTCAAGTACTACTACTACTAATCAAGAATAGCATAGTGTGAGTACTGAAAGAAAGTTACTACCTCAAGGGCTGAGGATGAGGAAAGTTTCAGAGGTCCGCGAGTCACCTTTTCATTGCAGTGACAAAATACCTGTTCAAACCATAGTCAGATGTCTGCATTGTCTTAGGCCTGTGGCCATGCAGAAACATCTTGGCAGAAGAATGTGGAAGAGGAAAGCTGGTCACCTCATGGTAACCAGGAAGAGCAGAAGGGAAAGGAAGGGGGAGTGAGAGGGGGGAGGAGAAGGGAAGGGAGGTGGAGGAAGAAAAGAAGGAGGAGGAGGAGGAAAAGGAGGAAAGGAGAGGAAGAAGAAGAAGAAAAAGGAGGAGAAGAAGAAGAGGAAGAAGAGAACACAGTAAAAGAGGAAGAAGAAGAGGAGGAGGAAGATGAAGAAGAAGGAGGAGGAAGAGGAGAAGATGTACCCTCCAAAGTCATGCCTCCAATGATCTACTTCCTCTAAGTGGACCCTATCTCCTAATAGCTCATTCAGCTATGAACTTGCCATCAGTGGGTTAATCCATTGATAAGGTTAGTGTCCTCATGATTAAATAAACTTTTGGGCCCCATCTCTGAATATGGCCACACTGGAGATCAAGCCTTCCATGCATGATCCTTTGGAAGGCATGTCATATTCAAATCATAACAGTAGGTGGCATTCAGGCTGAGTCTTGATAGATAAGGAAAACCTGGATAAGTAGAGAAGGAAAGGAAAAAAAAGTTCCAGGAACAGCCTGAACTGGGTGAGTGAAACATGACATACTAGGCCAGGTGCTGCAACCAGACCAGCCCAGAGTGCCTGGGTGGTGGGGAACAAGAGAGTAGGCAAGAAGATAGGCTTGGATCCACTGCTGAGGCTCTGAAGGTTCCACTCAGCTCTGAATAACTCAGAGGGCCACATAAGCACATGCTTAGGGAACCCAAACTAAAATCAGAAATGAGGACATGCAAAAAGAAAGGAGTTAAATTTTAACATACATTTGGCTTTTGTCCAATTTGGGCTGTAGCATTTTTTAAATTTGGAATTACATGTGGAGACTATCACTAACCTTTTTGATGGTTAGAATCTCTAAAGGTTTTTAGCAGGCTCTAGCCCTGTTACACAATTTAGATATCAGCCAATCTCAGTTTTGGAGTAGGCAGAACAGAGTTAAAGCACTTTATAATACTGCTGTATACATGGCTTATAACTGTACCCTTAATCCCTCCCAAGAGTATTAGAAATTTATAAGGTCAGTCTGTTGTTTGCCCAAAAGACCTCTAATGGTGGCATTTCAGGAACTGTGACAAATGAAGCAAAATAAGAAGAATCTCTGCATGTTGTCCCAGAATGAGGAACTAGGGCCCTTAAAAAGTACACTACTTCCTAAATTTAAATCATCTCTCCAGAGGCTTGTAAAGAGGCTGCAGTCTGGTTCTGCTATCACTAACCAGCCAAGGTATCCTCCTTAACTGATGTTAAGTATCTTTTATAACACAATGTTCATGGCCAAAAGTTATACATGTTTCCCCTGCTATCCACATCGCTGGGGAAGAAAGAGCGTGTATTCTCTACCCCGAGACCAACAGGAAGAATGTGTTTTAGAAAATCGTTCATCTAGATTAGGAATGCCTACAAGAAGAAGGAAATGAAGTCTTACTGCTAGGCTGGCTGGTTCCTACATCTCCAACCTCAGGCCCACCCCAGTGCCTCAGATGAGACAAATCCTACAAGAGTTTAACATGGATGTGAAGAATTTGGGTTCACAGAAATGAAGTTGGAAAAGATGAAATAGAAGAAAGTACATACATCATGCAGGCAGAGATAATCATCTGTGCAGGTGCCCAGCAGCAGAGAAATAGACCACAGCATAGGCAGACTAAGGGGCCCTACTCTGCCACCAGCAGAGGGTGGGGGAACACCCTGCTAGCTCCCCTAGCTGCCTCTCCCTGCCCTCAATTACAGGGGTGATAGTTCTAGAGTAGGGAGGGTAAAGTGAAAGAGCAAACTGCATCCTTGGCTACCTGGTGCCCAGCTCCTGGACTGTAGTTTCTCTGAGAACATATTCTTCATGCCTAGAATATATTCTTCATGGCTGGCACATGCCTGGCCCACAACAAACAATATAATACTTGTGTTGAACATGAATGAGTGAATGCAACTACACAAAGAGCTCGTCTTCCACCCCACCCCAGATTTCCTGGTTTAGAAATCTTACTCACTGGTCAGAGAAGGGTGTTCCCTTGGCACAGAGTTTTGCTTAAGTAACATGGCATTGCCCAGGTCAGGCACAGTGTGTGTCTCCAGCAATGTCAGTTTCTGGGCAGGGCTTGGTCTTCTACAGACCGTAGCCCCGCCCCCAGCCCTGCATTCCAACTCACTGGAGGAAGATATAAACGCCAGGCCTCTTGGCCATGCTGCACTATTACCAGACTTCCAACATCAACATGAAGTTGGGAGGCCTCCTTCTTCTCGTGACCCTCATTACTCTCAGCCTCAGGGTACAGGAGCTACACACTGCAGTAAGACCATTACAACTGCTGGGTAAGTCTAGGCCCAATCTTCTTTGAATGAGAGAGCCAGACAATAGGACATCAGGAACCAGTGTGTAGAGGAGGAGAACAAGAAAGGAGAGAAAGAAAGATATTTTCCTTCAGGATTCTCTTTGATGGGCACCACTCCACTCCTCAGGACAGAATCTCTCTTCTGCCCGTACTTTGTCCCTTCCTTTCCCTGGGTTACTTCTCAATGTGGACTCCTTCATCTTCTTCTGCCACCAACCATCCTCCATCTCCCAGAATCTCCCCCTCCACCATAGTCTCCATAGGATTGCCTAGAGAAAATATTGTCTTAGTCATGTTAAATATGAATCATCTCAAACTCCTCATTTTACCACTTTTTTCTCAACGGAGTATTCTAAATTCTCTGCCCTTACTTCCCTGTAACTCCTTTCTTAAGCCCTTAAAGATTGGCCACAGCCTCAGTTCCTGCCCCATTAGTCTCCTGAAGCATCTCTCCTAGGTCATGTGGACAAACGTCCTTCCTAATGCTTCTCCATGGCGCAGTCTTCAACCTCTGCAGCATTTGATGCTATTTGCCACTCCCTCAGTTCTCAAGCTTTTTTCCCTGCCTGGGTTATCTTTCACTGCATGTTATTATTTTCCCCCAAATACTGTTGGATCTAAAACTGTTTCTTGCGTATGTTCCTTTCCACCTCCCCATTTCCAACCCTGATTACTCATGCTTGGCTCATGGTAATAGCTTCCTAACAGCTATCCTTGTTGCTCTGTGTATTCTGCAGTTTTCCTGCTCATCAAATCCCATTCCATTTTATGTTCTCACACCAAAATTGCATCCCTTGTTTTAAATGAAATCCCAAATTCACAAGTCCTGAAGAGCTGCCTGCTAGCCAGAGCTTTGTCCTTTGCATGCTTTTGCTGCTTAACTACCATATGTACTCAGACCTCCTTTTGCCTTTCCTCCTGGATTCCAAAAGTCACCCTCTATCTGGACTCTACTCCTCTGCCCCCATCAGCCACCCTCCATCCCCTATTATCTCCCTCTCTACCAGCTTCTTTGAAGGATTTCCTAGAGAAAATATTGTCTTACTCATGGTAAACATGAATCGTCTCAAACTTTTCTCCTTTTACCACTTTTTTCTCAAAGGAGTATTCTAAATTCTCTGCCCTTACTTCCCTGTAACTCCTACCTTAATCCCTTGAAGACTGGCCACAGCCTCAGTTCCTGCCCCATTATCTCCTCTGAGCCCCTGGAGTCCTCTGATTTACCTCTCCTTTAGTACTTTATAAGTTTCATCTCCACTGTTAGACTTTAAACTGCATGTTTTACATCACCGTATTTCCTGGATAACTTCCTCTATGCTTTATATATGGTAACAAATCGACAGAGAAATACTTAATAAGAGACCAAAGCACTGTTCACGGCAACAAGAGGTCTTCAGCCTTATCACAAATCAACAGCTACCAGAAACATGGTGGAGTTGCACTGGTTTTCTCTGAGGTCTATAATGTACATTGTAGACTTCCCACCAGGTCTGTTCTCTTACCTCTCAGATACTGCTAATCAACCGTGATGCTTCTTGTCTCTCAGCCTGGACCAGGCATCCAAGGCTGCTCTATATAGCATCAGGTAGCCCCCTTTATGGAGTAGAGTTGACGCTGGAGAATGATCCTCATTTCTCCTGCTGTATCCAAGGGCTCATTGTACAGATGAGAAAACAAAGGGCCAGAGAAATTCAGAGATAGAATAAGGCAGAGAAATTTCTAATAATAGCTGAGTAGCCGATTAGATGCAACACACATTCATCCAGAGGACTGCGCTGTATTTTGCTAGAAGCTCCTGTGAGGTCTTAACCAGGTTTCTTAGACAAACTTCATTGGTCCACAAGACTAATATTCAGTCTCTGGGAACCTGGGGAGCCTCCACTCAGCTTAAAAATGACTCCTTGGAATCTGGCGGTGCACTCTGCATGCGGGACAGTTTCACCATGTGGGAGAGCAGCAGCCCAAGCCTAGGTACCAAGAGGTCTAGGTTGAATCTCACTTCTGTACCCACTAGCAGGCAAGTCCCATCTGTGAGCCCCAGTTGTAAAACCTATAAAATGAGGCTAATTGAGACTCACTACACAGGGTGATTACAAGACACCCTTGGTGGCATTCAGCAAATGCAAGTCTCCCCTTCTCTGTTCTATTTGGGGGACTTCTTTGAGCTTCCTTTCCACAAACACAAGCACTCCATCCCCATGTCTAAAATAGGCTTAAATTTATTGGCCTTAGGTGAATACATTGTTTCTAATGGAAATGTAAGATGTTGGGGCTGGGGATTTAGCTCAGCAGCAAAGCGCCTGCCTGGCAAGTACAAGGTTGTGAGTTCGGTTCCTGGTACCGGAGAAAAACCAAAAAAAAAAAAAAAAAAAGATGTTAACAACTCATTCTGACAGTAGTCATTTGGGAATTATAGTATGCGCTGAACTAAAAGAAAAAAGTGGAATTTCTGCCTTAATCAAGGGCTGCCATCCCCCCCACGTGAACCTGAAGTACGGAGGTTTCAGCCGCTCTCTTCCAACAGGCACCTGCGCTGAGCTCTGCAGAGGTGACTGGGACTGTGAGCCAGAGGAGCAGTGTGTCAGCAGTGGGTGTAGCAGTATCTGTGTTGCAAGTTAAGGACAGGTAAGAACATCAGGCCTTTCCTCCGTCCCCAAACCTTGTCCAGCCAAGGCAGATTGTACATTGGCTCCCGTGGGACCACCCAGAAATCAGGTGGGATGGAAGCCCACCTGTCTCCCTGCAGCCTTTCCCTCTTCACCCCAAGGAAAAGATGCATCCATTACAGGATGGTGGTTTCCAAACCTTTAAAATAATCTTCAGGTCCAACAGAAGTACCAAACTATTTTTGATTAAAATCATCTGTAATCCTCACCCTGAACTGAAGTCTGCTTAGCACTGTGGTACATATTTTAAATACACATAAGCATATAACATGTATTTTAAAAATGACAATCTTGTGCCTCTTTTGATTTATTATTTTACTTAAAAATAGCCAATGGACAATCTTAATATCAATACTGATGCCCTTGTCCTATCATCTGTACTAGCCTTGGAGTTGACCATATAAGCTCAGCAACCTCCATTAATACATACTTAAGACATTTATTATTTTTATATTATTAATATGGCTGCAATAAAATATAAATTGAACAAGACCCCTTTATTAATTCCCTTGGTGGTCTAAGAAGTATATTTGATGACCAAATAGTACGCTCATTTTGCCAGGCGTGGTCGCCTGCGCCTGTAATCCCAGCACTCAGGAGACTGAGGCAGGAGGATTGTTGCAGGTTTGAGACCAGTCTAGGCTACAAAGTAAGCTCAAGAGCAGCCTGAATTGCATAGTGAGACCCTGTCTCAAAAAACAAAAAAAAGAAAGAAAGACAGTATGCTCATTTTAAACTTTTGTTGCACATTTCCATATTGACCTATGAGGAGCCCCTTCCTGTAAAAGCATGCCAGGAGCCTCACATGAGAGGTTCTTTACTTTCAGTAGCCATTAATTAGGAAAAAAATCACAATAAAGGGTTATCCTGATGCAGTTTTGACTACAAATTAAGTTGTATTAAACACAACAGAATCAAGGTATATTTTTAACACATGTGACTACCACATTGTTTCTCTGGTGTGAGAAACCAAAAGTGTATATAAGGACCAAACTGTATTTTGAAGTAGGAGGAAAATGTTCAAATGGGGAGGAGAACAAGAGAGAGGGGAAAGGAAAAGGAAAAGGGAGGGAAAGTTTTAAAAAATGAGAAAAGAAGGAAAACATGGAAACAAAGTTTTGTAAATGGGGACAGGAGGAGGAGTTGAAGGGAGGGTAAGGGAATGGGGGAAAAACTGTTATATCATGTACAAGTACAAATTCTCTATGATGAATGTGATCATTATGTATATCTAAAATGTGCCAATAAAATCCAATGCAAAAAAGGTATACTATTACAAAACAAGCCATTTTATGTTCAGAACATGTTCTTTTTCCACATACAATCCTTGGGATGCTGAAGGTCTTGTGTGCTACCTGCAGGTATTTTGGAGTTCCAGAATTGGGAACTATTGCCTTTCAGTTATATTCTGTTCATTGAGATCCAAAAATCAGCAGGTCTCGTGTATAATGTATTTGTGCATTTATTGGGCAAAGATGTATCTTAAGTATCGTGTTCTGTAATAGCTGTTCATCTCTTTCTGAAGTTTCTACTGGCAAAGGTGTGACTACAGTACTTGGAAGGTCCTGCCCAGATGAAAGTGGGAGACATGAATGGCAACTATGAGGAGCATGAAGGGATGGGAAGAGGAGGTGTTTCTTTTAATAAATCATAACTGTAAAAACAGTCACACTGTTTATTTCATTAGAGGTGATGGCCAGAGAGGCAATGAAGAGAGCACATGACACTTGTTGGGCAACAAGGACTGTGCAACAAGGACTATGTCAGATTCTCCACAAGCATTATCTAAGTTATCCTCCTTTCTTCTCTGGGGAGGCCTTCACACTGAGCTCATCCCCCACTCTATTTTTATTTTGAGACATGGGTCTCACTAGGTTACTGAATTGCCCAGGCTGAGCTAACATTTGTAATGCTCCTACCTCAGCCTACCACAGTGTTGGGATGACAGGTGTGTACTATCTCTAAATTACTCTTACAATAATCTTTTCACTGAGCTTAGCATCATCCTGTCACATGTAACAACACTGGGTTTTGGAGAAACGAGGTAATATGCTCAAAGCTATAGATCAGGTAAGTGTCAAGGCCTGCACTATAATCCCATGTGAAACCTCAAGGCTTATGCAGTGTAGTGTAGTAATTAGGAGTTTCAAAGTCAGTTGTGTAGGCCTCCAGTAAGCATCCTGCCTTTTTGTGTGTTAGTTTCTTCAACTGTATTATAGTATATACCTCACGGAGCTACAAAAATAAAAGGTCATGTAGAATGTTTGGCATAGTGCCTGAAACAGAAAGTACAGTTGGTCCTCTGTGTTCTTGGGTTCTGTATCCACAGGTTCAACCATCCACAAATTGAAAATATTCAGGGTAAAAACAAAAATTGCATCTGTAAAGAATCTTTTCATGTCATTACTGTCTAAACAATATAGCACATAGCTGGGCATGGTGGCTCATGCCTGTAATCCCAGCACTAGGGAGGCTGAGGCAGGAGGATCACTATGAGTTCAAGGCCAGCCTGAAGTGCATAGTGAAATACTGTCTCAAAAAGACAAAAAAAAAAAAAAAGCCAGCACAACAACTATTTACATAACAGCATACATACACTATAGTAGGTATTATAAGTTATCTAGAGATTTTTTTTTTTTTTGGTATCGGGAATCAAATTCACAACCTCGCGCTTGCCAGGCAGGTGCTGTGCCGCTGAGCTAAATCCCCAGCCCCTAGAAATGATTTAGAGGGAAGATATGTATAGGTTATATGCAAATACTGGCCCATTTTATGTAAGGTACTTGAGCACCCTCAGATATTGAGACCTTCAGGGGCCCTGGAACCACTCCCTTATGGATACCAAGGGAGAGCAGCATTCAATAAATGTTAACTATAGTAATTATATCTGTGGGGCATAAGCTAATTTTGTGTTAAAGGCACATTGTTGTGGGTATATAATTCCCACATTTATTCTATAGAATATTTCTATTGATGAATTATTAATTTTAATTTTATAAGTTTTATTATATTAAATAATGAGTAATTAACAGGAAAAAATATCAAAAAATAAAGTATTGAATTTTTAATATTTATTGTTTACAAAAAAAGTATTAAAATTTTCAACATCAACTGTGTTTTGGTGTACAAAGTCTAAAACATAACAAAAAAAAATTCCCATATGAACTACAATGAAAATATCAGTAGAACACTACAACAAAAATAATCTTTACTTCAATTATCACACCTAAGGCAGCCTTCACACATGACAACAATGCATTCCATATATACATATTGCTTACTCTGACAGCATGCGTGTTTTGCTTTCCTGGCCTTTTTGTAGGATATACTTGACATCTTTCTGACCTTGCTGTTTTTCAGGAAGTTCTTGTTATATTATACAATTTGTAGCTAACAAGAACATAAAATATCAATAAAGTATTAAATTCTTAATATGTATTGCACATTTAGGAATAGACATCATTTTCACATCAGCTGTGTGTTTGCTTACAAAACCTAAAAGATAACATCAGAAATAAATTCCTATATTAACTATAATGAAAATACCAATAGAACTCTACAACAAAAATAATCTTTGCTTCAATTGTCACACCCAAGGCAGTCTTCACACATGAGAACTGCATATTTCATGTACATGTCTTGCTTACACTGATGGCACATGTGCTTAGCTTTCTTTTCCTGTGTAGCAGGCCATTCTTGTCACCTCTCTTGTCTTCTCTTGTCAGGAGCTTCTACTATATTGTACAATGTGTACTTAGCAGGAAAATAATATATCAATAAAATAAAATATCAAATATGTAATGAGTGCTTAGAATAGACATTAACATTTTCACATCAGCTATTTACTTGCTTACAAAACCAAAAAGATAACATCAGAAATAAAACCTACATGAACTACAATGTAAATATAAACAAAAGCCTACCACAGAAATCATCTTTGCTTCAACTGCCACTCCCAAGGCAATCTTCACACATGACAACTGTATGTTCCATGCACAGCTGACATCTTTTTTATTTTCCTGTTGTCATAGTAGGTCTTTTGATGTTGCACCTGCCTGTTCACCTGTCAGCTCACCAGTATGTTCCACGATTTTTTTGTGTAATTCCCTGGGCAGAAACATTTTATTCTTCCTCTGCTGCAAATAATCTCTTATGAGTTCCAGTCCCAATCCACGAAGAAAATTTTTTCATGATAGTTAGCACTTGATATTTTCTTTGTAAACAATCAAACAATTCATGACACACATTTAGGATGTAGTAAAACACAACTATTGGCCAATGCTTTGTGTTTCAAGTAACATCATAGTTGCTGCATAAGTCATCAACAACATCTACCCTACCTTTGGTTTTGTTGTAAAAAGTTATAACCTCAAGCTTCAGTTTTTTTGAGATTTCCATACAGTTATAAACAAAGGAGCTGAGTCACTCCTGTCCCTTCCCTTTGTTCAACTGTAAACTCTACATGGCCCTAATATACTGTGTAAAGCTACAGTGACCAGGAAATGCTGCAAGATGTTCGTCTAGTCATGTATTCATATGGTGTGTAAATTGTTTGATTTTTTTTGAAACAAAACTCTCAAACAATGAGTGAATAGTAGCCAGATTATCAGTTCTTTTTCTGTCTTGGTGGGTGGTTTTGTCAACAAAGCTCAGGCAGTTTTGAAGGACACCAAATCTCCTCAATGTCATTGTTATTCTACAAACCTGAAACCCACACCCATAAGTCTTTTACATTCCTGTGATTACCAAGAGAAAGCCCTACTAAGTACAGCAGACCTATGAATTCTTTCAGTTCAGCTAGTGAGGTGTCATAATAAATATATTTTTGAGTACGGACATTGATGATACATAACATTTTACTTGTATTTCATCATTTGTGTATTTCACAAAATCTTGTGGCATTTTGTTTCCCCATGGAAACTGATATATTTTTCCTTCAGTTGGTGATTACCACAGAATAGCAATATTCATTTCCTCAAAGGAAGCACACTGTCATCCACAAAGATATAGCCTTTCAGAACTCAAAAGATCGGCATCAGTATACTTACTTGACAATACCTGGGTCATTTGGTTTCTTAAATAACACTACATGTGGCTCATCTATATTGCAACCTACATTGAACCACATCAAACCCAGCTTCTTCCCACAGTCTCCTCACACTTCCTCCATTCTTCCAGGCATCTCATTCTTCTAGCTCAGTGTGTTGAACATCTCTTAAGCACCACTTCAAATACTTAGTCTTAAGATTCTTTGAACCATTGTTATGACAACCAGTTTATCCCAGATATCAGTAGCTTAGCACAAATGAAACTCGCCAGGGCCTTGTTTTAGACATGTGCACTTGTATTCCAAACTCACTTCTGCCTCATGATTTCTTTGATTATGCATCAGGGGACTCCTATAGGAACTCCTGCACAAAGCTGCATGCCAAACCAGAGAAGTGATCCCTGGTGAGGTAACCATTCAGAACAGAGGTCAAAAGCTGGCAGATGTACTTCCCTCTTTTATTCTTCAGGAGGGGGTTCTGAGCATTCCATAAGATTTCCCAGAAACTTCCAAAGACGGAACAGTCACCCCTTGCAATGGCCATCTCAAGAGCACAAATTACTATTGATTCTCTCTTTCCCTGTTCATCCTGAATAAATTGATACAGGGGTGAGAAACTCCCAGCCTGAATGATATCTGGGATGAGTTCGTGTTCTCTAAAATCGAAGAATGAATGTTTGGTTGGTTGGTTGGTTTTTTTTTCGGTACCAGGAATTGAACTCACAACCTCATGCTTGCAAGGCAGTCGCTGTGCCACTGAGCTAAATCCCCAGCCCCTCGAAGAATCAATTTTAGGAACAACAGAGGTTAAGAGCAGAATATGTTTATTGAGGGAAAGAAAGCTTCTGTCTGAGAGAAAGACAAAAGGGGACCTGAATGGGTTAACAAAGACCCTGTCTTTCCTAGGGATTTTATAGAGCAAAATCAGGAGGTGAGGCGGGTCCAAGGTGGGGGGAAGTGGGAAATCACAAGGTGGGCATGAGGTGGAACAAAACTATGGTCAGCCAATAAGAATTGTTCAGGTAAAATTGATTCAATCAGGATCAAATGGGGAAGCGAGTCACATCCAAGTGAGCATGAATACAGAACAGGGGCTTTTCCCTTAGGTGTTTGGGTCAGTGACTCTTCAAGGTGAGTGCTACCTATTTAGAATATCAATCCCTGAGATCCATCTCTAGGGAGGTATGTGGGTATGTTTGTTTAATCTTTTATCTTGAGATCTGGCCTGAAGCAAGTACCGCCTATGTATTTGCAAGGTATCTAGTCTTCCACATTGGCTCCTTCAAGGGCCTGGCCCTGTCTGACTGCCTATACTATTTTTATCTAACTCAGCTGCCTGCCACAAAATTACTTATCAACCACATCTGAAGCTCTACTTCCAGAGTATTCTAACTAGAACATACACTGACTAGGTTTCACCTTTAAATCTTCTTTGAGCAAATGCGTGAATATCAAATACCCCCTATACACGCACATAAATAACACATATCCCCAAAATAACAATAATATATACAAACATAATGGAATTAAATTCAAATAACAACAAAAAATTCTCCACAAGTCCAAAGTCATCACAGAACAAGCTCACCTAAAACATAATCCAATTTTCACTGTCCAATAGTGTTTTATTTTCAGCATAAAACACATACTGTATTCAGACAAACTCAAGGTTTCCCTACGAACTAAAGGTGGGGATTTTCTTTATATGTGAAGAACTCAAAGGTCCTAGAAATGGTTTTCCCAGTCTGCCTTCATGTGAATGTCCAGCCTTCATCCCTTGAGTATTTTCCAGCTTCTTGACAAAAGTTTCAGAAAATTTTGTGTGTCAAATGCCAATCAGCTCACTCTCAATGCAAGTTATAATTTACAGAGTTCAGTTTAAACTCCAAAATTACTTTTGTAGTGGGAAGAAGTGCTCCATGATTCTCAGCATTCACACTGCGAAGCGGGGAGAAAAAGGAACTAAGAGTACAGCCAGCTCTCATGAAAATATTGGAAAGTTGCCTATATTTCCTTAGCCAGATTGTAATCACAAAGCCAAGTGCAAGGAATAACGAGTAATGGAGCCTTGGTTCAGGGTCCTTCTGTACCTGGAGAACAATTAGGGGCTCTACTAGGAGGTAAGAAGGTGTCAGGCAGTTGTCAATGGCAACCACAGCAGGTCTCTCCAACTCCAGCCGGAATCTGAAACTCAACATAGTAATGTCAGCCCTGCCCAGGAACCCTCTTTCTCACTTTTCAGTCAGTGCTCAGAGAGATAGTCAGCTAAAAGTTTCCCTGCTCCGGGATTGCAGTACTCTGGGCTAGCGATTACTGGTTGGGGAAATCCTTCGCTTCCTGTTCTGGTCCAAATAAGGTATGTCCGGAACTAGAGCGCCGAGTCTGGGAATGACCCGGAAGTATTTCCCTGCGGTCGCACGTAGGAAAAATGGCGGCGGTAGAAGTTGCCGGGTCGCTGCCTTGTAGCCAGCCTACAGAGTCGCTGCGGGAACCGCCCCCTGAGTCCGCCAGTGGGTTCTACCGCTTGTCCGCCAGGCTCCGGGCCCTGCGCCCGGATGACAGCAGCTCCGCCCGCACTGAGATCCACCTGCTCTTCGATCAGCTCATCTCCGAGAACTACCGCGAGGGCGACGGCGTGGTCCCTGAGGTAGGCTGCCCGCCGGCTGTCCCGGCCCCACCCTGTTGAGAACCCAGTCTGTAGCTCCTGCCTGTCCCTCCGGAATGTTTCCCCTCTGATCCCCACGACTTAGTTCCGGGCTGCCTGGTTCCCTCCTACATCTGAAAGATTGCAGCGAACTCGAAATTTTCACAATCCAACTTGATAACTTGCTCCATCACAGCTGTCATTTCTGGTACACCTTCCTGTCCCCAGGCTCCACTTCTTTTCTGTGCATCCAGCACTTTTGTAGATACAGTTCCTTATTATTGCTTATGGAATACTGCACTTCACCGTGAGCGGTGCCAGCAACGTTAGAACGTGGGTAATTACTACGTCGTTTTCGCTGATGAAAAACACTGAAGCTCATAAGGTCTGGTGGGTGTCGCACTGTTGGCAAGGAGCAGAGCTAGAATTGGAGCCTAAGTCTGTCACAAAGTCCCCGTATTTTCTGTTCTTCCACGCTAGCTCCTCCCGTCTCTGCCTCATTTTTAGAAGTTCTTTTTTCACTGAGCAGTTTTATTCATACACATTAAGCTTTGGATACCACTTCCTAATTCCCGAAATTCTTGAGCCAGTCAATACCATGGCCTTCTGGTGCTCACAGGCATCTCAGGCTTGACAATTCGTCTCCAATCCATCCTCCCCTCCAACACATGTTCAGTCCACCAAGTCACACAGGCAGAAATGCTTGTTCTTTCTTTCCTTTTCTTTATCCCAGAGCCTATCCAACCCAGATTGTTCAGATTCTGTCTCAAACGTGTTTCTCAGTCCACATACCGCTATTCCCCTTGCCAGTGCCTTAAGCTAGATGACTTGCCTGGCCTGTTCCATTGATCTCCTCTACCAGATTTCCTTTCTCCAGTTCAACTTTTCTCCAGACTATTCTCTGCTGTGTTGCCAGAGTGGTTTTTTTCCTTTGATTAAAGCAAAACAAAACTGACTGTAAAAGTAAAAATCAGACCTGGGGAAGATCTTCAATACATATTGGTAAATGTTGAAACAAATTACAGAAAAATTCATACAGTGTAAGACCAGTGCAGGGTATGATGGCGCACACCTATAATCCCAGCCCTCGGGAGGCTGAGGCAGGAGGATCCTTGTGAGTTTGAGACCAGCCTGGGCTACAAAATGAGCTCAAGGCCAGCCTGAATGGCATAGAGAGACCCTGTCTCAAAAAGAGCAAAAAAAAAAAACAAAAAAAGAAAAGAAACCAATATGGGGCTGAGGAAAGGTGGAGGATTTTAAAATAAATATGTGTGTATATATAATATATGTATATATACACATATATTTTTTAATGAGATATACAAGAGTTCTAAACAGCAACAAAAAATAGTCTGCTTCTCGAAGGAGCAGAGTGGGATTAAGGGAGAGAGAATTTTTGATTCATTGGTATACTTTGATATTTTTGTAAATAAATTGTGTTTTCCTAGCCTTGTCCTTTTGTGTCCTGTCTGCAGTTATTTGGAACTTGATGCTTTTCAAGCACCTACTGGTGTTTCACATCTCCAGATCTTTGCCCACTCCCTTTGCTTGCTGTGTTTTTTGATGCCTTGTCTGGCAGAGCTCTATTTATTCTTCCAATCATTCTAGATTCTGCTTAAAAATCACCTCCACAAGGCCTCCTTGATAACCCTTTTTTTTTTTTTTTTTTT